GCTTTTCTTTCTGCAGCTGTGCAGCCTCCATGCCACACATTGATGCTGGAGCACAGGATGCTCTCCACTGCACACCTGTAGAAGGAGGTGAGGACTGAGCTTCCCAGACCAGCTCGCCTCAGCCGTCTGAGGAAGTAGAGTCTCTGATGAGCTTTCTTGATCAGGCTGGTGGTGTTGTTGCTCCAGCTGAGGTTGTCATTCATGTGTACACCCAAGTACTTGTAGCTGGAGACCACTTCCACCGCAGATCCTCTTATGTTCAGGGGGGTGTAGATGTTTTTGTTCCTTCTGAAGTCCACAATCATCTCCTTTGTCTTTTTCACATTGATGTGAAGGTTATTCTCTCTGCACCAGCTCTCCAGGTGTTCCACCTCTTGCCTGTAGCTGGACTCATCATTGTTTGTGATGCATCCCACCACCGCTGTATCATCTGCAAACTTTACAATGTGACAGCCTGGATGGGTAGCTGCACAATCATATGTGAGCAGAGTAAACAGAAGGGGGCTCAACACACATCCCTGAGGAGAGCCAGTGCTGAGGGTTATGGTGGAGGAGGAGTGGTTGTGGATCCTCACTAACTGTGGTCTGTTTGTTAAAAAGTCTAGTACCCAGTTGCAGATGGAGGGGCTTAGGCCTAGTGTGGATAGTTTGTCCATCAGGGTTTGGGGGATCATGGTGTTGAAGGCGGATGTGAAGTCCACAAAGAGCATACGGACGTAAGAGTTTTTCTGCTCCAGGTGGTTGAGTGCAGTGTGGACCACAGAGGAGATTGCATCCTCTGTTGATCGGTTCTCACGGTATGCGTACTGATGAGGGTCCTCGTTGATGTTGATGGTTGTTTTGATGTGAGTCATGACCAGTTTTTCGAAGCATTTAGCGACTATCGGGGTGAGGGCCACTGGCCGATAGTCATTCAGACCAGTCACTGTAGAGCTTTTTGGGACTGGGATGATGGTGGCAGTCTTCAGGCAGGTGGGAACTGTCTCCAGGGTAAGTGAGGTGTTAAAGATGTCTGCCAGCACCTCACAGAGCTGATCAGCACATTCCTTCAACACTTTTCCGGGGATGTTGTCTGGGCCAGTTGCTTTGTGCGGATTAATCCTCCTGAAGGTACTCCTTACTTCTGCTGAGGTCACGCTGAGATGCTCTTCATCCGGTGGCGAGGTGAGTCTGAGATGGAGCTGGGAAGTTATTCTTCATGCCAGTTGTCTTCATCTGATCTTTTGTAAAAATATGTCAATTTATTTTCCATTGTTAACATTTTTCTTCGCAGGACTGAGTTAATTTTCTTGTCTGTGAGTTTCTTCTGTCCTGCTTATGTATGTTTTTGTGTTCTAATTGTTCCCTCAGGTTTTTCATCTCTGTTCCCTGACTGCCTGTTGATCCATCCTCCTGGTCCTGTTGATCCATCCTCCTGGTCCTGTTGATCCTGGATCATCAGATCCTGACATGTCCCCGTCCTCTGAGGACACATTTTCATCTTTCCCTCATCTCACTCGCCTCATTTCTGTTTCTTCCTCAGTCTCTGAAATTACAACGTCACTGTTAGAATGAAGATTATTGTTCAATAAAAAATATGACATGTCTTATTTAACACTGTTCGTACCAAAGTTTAATTTAGAACAACATGTGTGATCACTGGTCAGATCAATGGTTAGGTCACTGGTCAGATCACTGGTCAGTGGAAGTTCTGCTGTTCTTCTCATCTGGTTCTGGTCCATGAACAACTGGTTGAACCTCCTTCAGTCTCACACGTCCTCACTGTGTCTCAGTCTCACACGTCCTCACTGTGTCTCTGTGAACTGTCCTCTCTCTAAATGTGCCTGTAGAGTGACATTAGTTTATTTTCTGGCACATTTCTTTGACAGTTAAACATCTTGAGCCCTGATTGAAAATGTTTGTGCAGATTAAATTTACAGCTCTCACTTTGTGTTGTTGTGATGATGATGATGGTGCTCCTGCTGACTTGAGATGATGTCATTAATAAACAGTATACATAGTAGTAAAAGTTCTTTATTAAAGCTTGCTTTACATTTTACATATTTTATAATTGTTTGGAAATTTATTTTTGCACAGTTAACACTTATTTTGTCATCTGTTATGATTTTAACTAGAAACAGTTTCATTGAAATTAACATTTTAATCAATGAATTACAATTTTACAATAGTTGTCAGGCTACAATCAACTCAGTTATCAGGTACTTGGTTGCCATAAAAAAACGACAAATACAACAATTATATTCAGGTCTCTCTTGTAAATGAGTTCTCGTGGCTCAATGGGACGAACCTGTTTAAATAAAGGTTGAATTAACATCTTCTATAGAAATCAAGAATTCATCCAGATGTTCTAAGGTAAGCTGGAGCAGATCTGAACTACATGGAGGACAAGGTGGAGCATTCTCATGCAGAGAACATCACAAATAGTTTTATAACAGGTGTTACTCTGATCTTTTTTATCGTGTGTAACGTTATAAAACACTGATATGGCTATATTGATCATTGTATTGCATATACATTATTTTTTTCTAACAAATATGTGTTTGCAGTCTCGTTTCCTTCTAAAATTTAATGATAAATGTATCAGCCGCTTCTAAAAATGCTTTGATAAAATGCATGGTTTGTGAAATAATCAATAATCGGTTAAGTAATCAGTGTGTTACTGCTCAATAATTACTGAAAGACGCCAGGTAAAGTAAGAAAAGTCAATTTTTGTGTTATGTTGTGCCAGCAGCCGCTCAAACTGACTGACAGCGATGAGCTGTTTGGAACTATGGGGAGCTGCATGAACCACGTGACCGCGTATCGGCGAGTTCAAAGAGTGTCGCAACTCTCTCTTTACAGGGCTCTGGCTGCACTCATGCAGAGACATGTAGGAGGAGATGTATGAAGGCAGCAGACCAAGAAGTGATTTAAAGATGAAAATGTACCAGTGAGAGAGTCTGTGTGAAGTTAATGATGACCAGTTAACCAGTGAATACAGGGTGCAGTGGTGGGTATGATAATCACAGCCAGTTATGAATCTTAGTGCACCATGTTAGACAGCATCCAACATCTGCAGGGTGCTTGTAGGAGCGTTCATGTAAATAATGTCACCGTAATCAATGGAGGGAAGGAAAGTCCCAGTTACAAGGCATTTCCTAGCATCAGAGTTAGACAGGATCTGTTTCTGAAAAAGAAACCCAGTTTAACTTTCAGTTTCTTTACCAAGTTTTCCACATGAAGCTTAAAAGAGAGATGCGAGTCGACCAAGATACCCAAATATTTATAGGAATCAACAGACTCAATGGGGACACCATTTGAGGATAAAATCGGAGGAAGAACTGCTGGGACCAACTTCCTAGTTGAAAAAAGCATGCCTTTGGTTTTGTCGGCATTTAGGACAAGTTTGAGGCAGAAAAAATCTGTCTGGATGTAGTTGAATTCAGATTTCAAAAGCTGGAAAGCCTTAGCAACAGTTTTAGCTCGACAATAAACAACTGTGTCATCAGCATAGAAATGTATGGATGCATTAGGGATGTTTTTACCTACATTATGTATGTAGATTGTAAAGAGGGTGTGTCCTAAGACTGAGCCTTGTGGTACACCATTGTTGACTGTTAAATAACTGGAGGAAGTACCATTATGTTGAACACATTGCCTCCGGTCTGAAAGATAGTTAGAGAACCAACCAATGTTGTGTTCTGAGAAACCAATTTCTGCGAGTTTATGGCACAAGATGTTTATGATCCACAGTGTCAAAAGCTTTAGACAGGTCTAAGAAAAGTGCAGCACAATAATCATTAGCATCCAGTGCTTCTACGTCATTAAGAACCTTCAGTGAAGCAGTGGTTGTGCTGTGTTGTTTCCTGAAACCAGATTGATGTGGAGGTAAGATGTTAAATGAGTCCAGGTAATTTTTGATTTGAGAGTTTATCAGTTTTTCTAGAACCTTGGCTAAAATACAGAGTTTAGAGATTGGTCGATAGTTGTTCAGTGAGGTGGGGTCACCTCCCTTGAGCAAATAATCAAAATAAATGAAACTATTATGGAAATAGTTCCAAGCGGAGTTCACGTCATCAGATACCAGAATACGATGCCAGTCAAAGTGAGACAGATCCCAGAGGAATGACTGTCCACAAAAATGTTTCAGATCCCTTTTTTGAATTAATCCGGGCTTAGAAGGTGGAAGTTTAATATCTCTCAAATGTATGTGTATATATATATATATATATATATATATATATATATATATATATCTTGTGATTAGTTTTTTTTTTAATTGTCACGTTTTTAAATTAAATGAATAAAATTTATAAATAAGTAAATAAATAAATAACACTTAAGTGGTGGCTAGTACACTAGCTTAATGGCGCACTACCGCCACCATCTGGTAATGCATGTTGGATTCTGGACCCCGCCTACTAGAACCGGTACTGAAAGCATAATGGAAACACAACGTGTACCGTACAGAGTAGAGTAGAGCTGTACTGTACCGGTACTACAGGTACTAATGGAAAAGGGGCATCCTCTTTCAGGCTGTTACACATGCTGGTAAAAACTTGGGAGGCAGTACTTTGGATTTACGTGATTGAAGTCACCAGCCACCATGTGGAAAGCCTCAGGGTGTTTGCTCTGCAGCAAGCTAAAATGATCATGCAGCTCCTGCAGAGCATGTGTAGCATTAGCATCCAGAGCTATGTAAATGACTGTTATGAACACTGCTGTGAACTTGTGGGGTAGATAATGTAATCGACCTTTCACTTTTAGCTGCTACAAAGCCTTGGAGCAATGGTGGTTTATCAAGAGTAGTTCAGTTTGTGCACCAACATTTACTCAGGTAAATGCCTACCCCCCCCCCCCCCCCCCGGTGATTTCCCCGTTACCTCACTGAGAACGATGTAATTTAAGGCAAAAGCTTAAAAAACATTTTTTTTGGCTACGTAAAGAACCACAAGAATTTAAAAAACATTTGCTGTCTGAATGTATCCTTAATATTGTGGCATTAAGTAGTAAATATTTACTTCATAAATATTAATGAACTTGGTTGAAACATTTAGAAATATAGTTGTAAAAATATGCCTGCTTTGTAAATTGATGACCTTTTATACTGATCCAAACAATATGTATCAGTGATATAGACACATAATATACACAAAAATTGTTAGTATTTCTACTTTACATTGGCAGATCTTAGAAATGTGCCAGATCATCTTAGCTGGACTTACTGTTTGTTTTGATAACATTTACCCCCTATTTCCAATTCATATTGTGGTAAAATTATCTATTCTTTTTCATGTTTATCTTAATATAATGTCTCTGGTTTTCCTATGAAAAAGCAAATTGCATGATTTAAAGAGACTTCCTTGCCAATGTTTAATTTTCTGCCTTACTTTTAATAGCAGCTACTTTGTTTCCTTACATTACCAAAACCTCTATTTACTTGAGACATTTTATTTATCCTTGAATACTAATACTTACTTCTTTAATACTTGAATTCTAATATTTAGAAAAATTAGAAATAGTTATTCACTTTGTTCTGTTATTTGAAAATTATTATGATTGAAATAATTGTTTGAAAAACGGGGCAGATATAATAAGATTTTTTCTTCTTTCTGCTGCCTTTCATTTTAAATCGTTTGTATCTTTTTTATGTTGTTATGGAATTGTTTTGTACTTTTTTAAAATGAATAAACTTTATACCATACCATACCATACCATACTATGAAATAATTATGACTTTAGAAAGTGTCTGCTCAGCTAAAATGTATTTACAGGGGTTCTGGTCCCATGAGACTTGGTGGACAAGCCCCCCTAGTGGTCTGGTGCACTTCTGTTTTTTTTTTTTTAAATTTTGTAGCGTTTCTTATGTTCAGTTGTTTTGGTGTTTTTGGTATTTGCAGCATTTTTCCTTTGCATTTTGTGGCGGCTGTGGCTGAGTGGTTAGAGCAGTCGTCCTCCAATGCAAGAGTTGGGGGTTCGAATCCACCAGCAGTCACATGCCGAAGTGTCCCTGGGAAAGACACTGAACCGCTCACTGTCTCCGATGTGTCCCATAAGTGTATGAATGTGATAAAAGCATTGATTGGTCTTTTTAGAATGATTTGTTTAATAAGATTTGTAGATATATAATAGAGAGCTGTATGAATGGGTAAATAAGGACACAGATTGTAGTGTAAAGCGCTTTGAGTATCTCTATAAGATAGAAAGGCGCTGTATAAGTACAGTCCATTTACCATTTTTGTTTTGTGATTCTTTATTTTCTGTGACTAAATATTTTTTTGTTGCATTTGTTTATTTGTTTAGGAGTTAGGATCATTCATGTGTTTGCAGCAGGTTTTAACTGTTTTCTGTGCGTTTAGCTGTTTGCAGCTTGTTTGCACCTGTCGTCCACCGTGGAGGAGGGACTCCTCAGCGACTAGCCATGAAAGACGTACCTCTTCTGGGGTAAATTGAACTAGGCTTTTACAGAAGCGTTCATATTTACAAAAGCAAAGCACCAACTAGTGGTCAAAAATAAAAATCAAAAGTTTGGTAACAAAGGTACAAAGAAAAAACATTACTGAAAGGAATATTATTTTATTATACGAGACTAAAAAATGTAAAAAAAAAAAAAAAAAGGGGGTATTATTCGCAGCTAAACTGCTTTCTTCTGATGTGGATTTCAATGTGTGAGTTTAAATGCGACTTCTGTCCAAACCTTTGTCCACAAAGATCACAAGCAAATGCTTTCTCTCCTGTGTGAATTATTATGTGTGTGTTTAAAGTTGACTTACGTCCAAACCTTTGTCCACAAAGATCACAAACAAATGTTTTCTCACCTGTGTGAATTATCATATGTGTCTTTAGATTACACTTTCTCTTAAAACTTTTTCCACAGTCTTCACAACTAAACCGTTTCTGTCCTGTGTGAACTATCATGTGTGAGTTTAACTGTGACTTATGTCCAAATCTGTGTCCACAAAGATCACAAACACATGGTTTCTGTCCTGTATGGACCGTCATGTGTGTCTTTAGAAGACCCTGTCTGTTAAACCTTTTTCCACACTCTTTACAACTAAACCGTTTCTGTGCTGTGTGAACTATCATGTGTGAGTTTAAATGTGACTTCCGTCCAAACCCTTGTCCACAAAGATCACAAGCAAATGCTTTCTGTCCTGTGTGAACTATCATGTGCGTGTTTAAAGTTGACTTCCGTCCAAACCTTTGTCCACAAAGATCACAAACAAATTCTTTCTCTCCTGTGTGAATTATCACGTGTCTCTTTAGATTACCCTTTCTGTTAAATGTTTTCCCACAGTCTTCACAACTAAATGAGTTCTGTCTTGACTGTTTTTTCTCGACTGAGCCTCCACTTTTCTTCACTTCAAAACATTCCTTGACAACCAAACAACTTGAAGACATCATTGACTGACTTGTCTTGTGAAATTGTTTCCCATGCTCAGTGAAGCTGCAAGATTTGTTGACAGTGTTTACGTCTGACTCAGGAGCTCTGCTCTCCTTCCAGTCTTTGTCACTGTCTTCAGGTTCTGACCCAGAGTCTGAAAAGTCTTTTAGCTGAGAGTCAGAGTCATTCACATCATCAACTTCATCATCCTCACTGACTTCAGTCTCTGAAGAGCTGCAATCATCTCTATAAGTATTTAGATCTGGGTTCCTGGTAGTCTCTGTTCCTCCACAGTCCTCTCCACCAGTTGCTGCTTTCATCTGGTCAGATGAGCTGCTGGTTGGAACATCTTCCTCTTTTACTTGGTGCTGATGAAGCTGTAAAAACTGAGGTTTCTCTTCATCTTCCTCATTCTTCAAAGGAACAGCAGTGAATGCAAACCCGGAGTCATCAGTCTCTTTTTTCACACAAAACTGCTCTCCCTCTTGACTGGTCCACAGTTCCTCCTCTTCCTCCTTTATGTTGAGGGTCTCTGGATCCTGCTGGTCCACACCAAGCATCCGTACTTCAGGAGTTTCTTCTTTAATCAGCACCATCTGCTGAACATCTGCAGGGAACACAGAAAACACAAACATCAGGCACAATTATAACTTTAAATTCACACATACTTGTTTGAATAGATTGTTTTGAATTGATATTGTTTAGAAGGGGCAGAAATGATAAGAATTTGTTCTTCTTCTGCTGCCTTTCATTTTATATGTATCTTATTTTATTTGTATGGAATAAGTCTTGTTTTAACTGAAATGAAATGAATGAATGAATGAATGAATAAATAAATAAATAAATGCTTGAAAGTTTGTGAAGCCTTTAAAACTTTCTAAATGTATGCATAAAAATGACCTAAACATCATCAGATTTTCACACAAGTCCTAAAAGTAGATAAAGAGACCCCAGTTAAACAAATGCGACAAATATATTACACGCATGTAGTGAACTAAGCCTCCGGTCAAAACCTGACCCTGAAGACCTTCATGGGACAGGAACTGTTATTTCATTGATTTGAATCCAGAAATACAAATTAGCTCATCCAGAGACTTTCTAATTGTATCCTGAACTAATCAATTGAAAGAACACTCTCTTTTTATATTATCATTAATATTTTACAATGTCTTGATAATCAAAAGTGTGTTTAGTTCAAACCATTTT